CGCGGTCAACAAACAAAAAATCACTGTTCATGGTTCCAGTCAAAATGTTTCACACACTATTAATGAAGATGAAAGAAATGAATTCACACACCAACCTGATGTTAAGGATAAAATTCCGATCTATACAAATACTATGCAAATATTTGATGAATGTAAGTGTATATATAATTCGTTTTGTCATTTTTGGATTTTATAAAAGACATTCGAAAAAAAAAAATTAAATTCCGATTCAAAAATCAACTTGTGTAACTTATATTCAAATGCAAAATAAATGCCAAGCTAACTAATAATGAATAAATTCCGCCCGAATTTGCTAAATTTCTTTGGCAATTAATATAAAAAAAGGATTCATCATACTTTTTTTTCGTTAGTTGACAAGTTTTCAAAGATGAATGCAATGCAAATAGCAAAAAAATTTCCTCAGCTTTCGCTGCAAGATGCTTTCGATCTCATTGCGAAGTTCAAGTAAGCTTTTTTTCTTCTTTTTGAACATTTACACGATTTAAATAAGATTTACGTCGCGTCTTATATAGCAAAATCGATCTTGATGGTAATGGTGCTCTCGAACAAAAAGAAGTTGTTAAGGCTTTACATGCGATGGGCGAGAGTACTTCATATGACGAAATTCGAGCTACCCTGAAAGAAATTGACTTAAGTTCAACAGGAAATGTTGAAATTGAAGAATTCATTGAGGTACCCTTTTTGAATATAATTTGGTTTTGGTTTCAATATTCTATTACAATAACTTATATATAATTTTAATTTTATCATTAGCTTGTTGTAAAACTTAGGGAAGGTCGTAATAAAAGCGCTTTTGCGGCCAACAAACGAAAAACCACTGTTCATGGTTCCATTCAAAATGTTTCTTACACTAATGAAGATGAAAGAACCGAATTCACAAAGTATATCAACCAAGAATTGATTAATGACCCTGATGTTAAGGATAAAATTCCGATCTATACAAATACTATGCAATTATTTGATGAATGTAAGTGTAAATAATTTGTTTTGTCATTTTTGGATTTTGTAGAAGACATTCGAAAAAAAAATAAATCCAGAATTAAAAAATCAACTTGTGTAACTTATATTCAAATGCCAAATGCCAAGCTAAACTAATAATGAATAAATCCGCCTTAATTTGCCAAATTTCTTTGGCAATTAATATAAAAAAATGATTCATCATACTTTTTTTTCGTTAGTTGACGAGTTTTCAAAAATGAATGCAATGCAAATAGCAAAAAAATTTCCTCAGCTTTCGCTGCAAGATACTTTCGATCTCGTT